TGATTATATAATTCATTAGAAATTTAGCCAATAGCAATTACAAATTTTACGTAGTTACTATGTATTGATAAGCGATTATACTCTTGACGACGTGGTATAACCGTTTTGGTGTTTCGCCTCCTCCAACAATGTGAACTATGTCATGGTAACGATAGTTTTAACATTTGTCAATAAACGTCAAAAAAAAATGGAACGCTTCGGTTCAAGCTCTGAATTATATAATCGTATCGAATACCACTCGAGCAAACGAAAATATTCGATTATACTAACCTCCTCACTCGACGTATATCCTTAAAACACCACTCCAGCTACGCTGTCGTGGTGTTTCGCAGAATACGTCTCGTGACTCGGAAGTATAATCGAATATTTTCTATGCTCTTGTGATATTATAACTGATTATATAATTCATTAGAAATTTAGCCAATAGCAATTACAAATTTTACGTAGTTACTATGTATTGATAAGCGATTATACTCTTGACGACGTGGTATAACCGTTTTGGTGTTTCGCCTCCTCCAACAATGTGAACTATGTCATGGTAACGATAGTTTTAACATTTGTCAATAAACGTCAAAAAAAAATGGAACGCTTCGGTTCAAGCTCTGAATTATATAATCGTATCGAATACCACTCGAGCAAACGAAAATATTCGATTATACTAACCTCCTCACTCGACGTATATCCTTAAAACACCACTCCAGCTACGCTGTCGTGGTGTTTCGCAGAATACGTCTCGTGACTCGGAAGTATAATCGAATATTTTCTATGCTCTTGTGATATTATAACTGATAATAGTACTCATTTTGGTAAAATTTTGAGAATGTTATACTTTGTTGTCAGATTGAATGTATTTTTCAAATTTAAAATTGTTTGTATTTAATATTTTATGAATCTTATTGTAAAAAGTAATCAGTTAGTAGTAGGATTGCCAGATCTCATAGGCGCCGACTTTTAAAACTTTTGTCGGGTGCTTGGTTGCCTTATAAGCATTTTTTGCCAGATGACATTAAAAAGCAAGAGAAATGAGTCGTCATTTGAAATAGCATGAGGTAAAAGATTTAAAATAAGTATTTCTCCAAATTAGATTTTATGAAAAACTTTTTAAAAAATGTATTGAAATTAATTAAACTTGTCAAAATAAATAAACTTTATTACTGTTTCGACACAAATTTCAAAAATTTAACAATCTTAATTTTTAACAAAAAATAAACTTCTATGGAATAACAAGTGAAAATATAAATATATGTACTATATAGACGTAAAAGTAGGTAGCACAGAAATATATTATTCTAACAAAACTGATAATAATTCTTGCGGGTGCTCCGCACCCGACAAATCCTTTTGTCAGGTGCTTGAGCCCCGGAGCACCCGAGAAGTCGGCGCCTATGCCAGATCTCCTATTTTAATATGAGTCTCTTATATTTTAATTCTTTCTCATATCTCATATTACCATGTTCAATATGGGCCTATTTCTTATATATTTTTATTATGATGAAAAAAAGTACGATTTTTAATTTTTGTCAATTTATTAAAAATTTCGGTGTTTTTCATGTACGTAAAATATTCTCATATATTTTTATACAATCTCATATGATTTTACACAGACCCGGAGACTTGACCCGTTTGTATAATTGATGCAAAAAAAAAGTTTCCAAGAAATCGACGTCTTAAAAAAAAGACAGAAATCACGATTTTTCCGCAACAAAGAAAACCCGGAGAAATGACATGTCAACCCGGAGCCCGAAGATCAGCGTTGCCAGACATCCCGATTTTTAACCCAAAATTAAATATCCCGCTTTTCCCGCTCGTTTTGTTTTTTTTTAGGCATCAATTATTTTCTCCAGGTCTGTTATTAAGTAGATATATTTTTTTTAGACATTGATTTCTTTGTTTCCCAGATATCCTGAGACTTTTTTTTTGCATCAATTATACAAACACGTCATGACTCCGGGTCTGTCATGAATGGTAACCCTTAGTATGTCCCGTATTTGGATGAAAGAATCCCGCTTTTTTATTCAAAAAGTTTGAAAATCCCGGTTTGCCCGAAAAAAAAATCTGGCAACGCTGCCGAAGATGTACCATCAAAACCCGGAGATCTGGCAACCCTACTCGCAACCCTAGTTAGTAGTAGTACTCGTATATTCATATTATTCAACAATTTTCTTAGTGCATTGGTAATTGTTTGAGAATTGCGAATACGAAAGAGAAAGAGTTTATAGTTTAGTATTAGTAGTGTACAATAGTAGTAGGTAGCTACAGTGTAGTATTGATTAAAGACCAAAATCAGAATAACAAATGACACAAAGCTACTAATCAAAAAAGTACATTCATAACACGAATTGAAAAAATGTATATAAAATACCGACACTTTCACCCCATCTATGCCATCCCAGACTTGTTATGAAATCCTGGGATAAATCCCTAAATATGTGTATATATCTAAACTCGCAAAAAAATTAATCTAAGCAAATGTATCTTTTTTTTTTCCAGTAAACCTTGGATAATTCTTATGATGAAAATATTGTTAGTGATATGTACATTATGGCATGATGTGGTTCAGGCTGCTGTAGTGTCAAATTACTGTTTACAGGCACAGCTTTTAACTTTGTATGTTCAATTTTTAAGGGAAAAGTTACTGCAATATCCTGTGCAAGCCTTGGAATGGATGAGAGTAAGTAATTAATATTGTTTGTGACTTTTGTCGTTTTTAATTAATTAATTAAAAGAAAACTTCTACAACACATTGCTTCTACACACACTACAACACATTTGATTTTTCATTTATTTTTTAATAGGATTGTTTCTGCAGTTAGTTAACTGATTTGAAACTATCAAGAGATGTTTGACCAACTGATTGGTATCCTCATACTACGACTACATGACAGCATATATGGCTGAGTACATCTGATAGTTTCGAAACAGTTTGAATCTGCTGCAGAAACAAACCTTGTACTATAGCAGTGCTATTCAACTAGAGGTACGCGTACTCCTATGTACATGAAGACGTCTTACAGTACAGGCAGGAATCTCCTATGATAGTACATTGACTAAAAAAACAGTGTGTTTATTAATAATTAAATAATTCCACTAGTTTCCAGTATTCCAGAATAATATAGTGTGTTTCACTTAAAGTCGGAACACCTCTGTATTTAGGATGGCGTTAACTGATTTACAAAATTCTTTTTTTTATGTTTTAGTACTCAAACAGGCCTACTTTTTGATATTATATTTTTTGACATGTGATCTTTTCTACGACCTATATCATTAATAAAAGACCCACAAAAATTAAAAAACATATTAGGCATCTTTTTAAGAAAGAAATGGATATCATTTTCGATTTGATCACACCTCAAAACCCTAAATACAAAGTTTTATTATTATAGCTTTTACAGGGTGTTCAACTTCGAAAAATTCCACTCATTGCAGTGTCTTGTAATTAACAGTGGAAGATATTTTCAAAGTATTTTTCCATAATTTTATTAACCTTAGGTATATCTTGCAGTTTCATTGATTTCACTAATACAGGATGCTCATAATAGGATAGCCAAATTACATATTTTTTTTATTGTACCAGAAACAAGTTTCACTACGAAATAATATTTAAATACTACTGTTTTCTATTAGCCCACTACCATTTTGTATGCACTGTTCAATTCATCTCTTATTTCTAATAACTCTCCTCAACTGATGTGGTGTTATTAGACATGCTTGTCTAATTCTATTACATAAATCTTAATTAAAAAAATTAATGTGTTTTGTGGGATTTTATGTGATCGAATAATCTGGCCCTTCTTTTTTAACGTTAATATCTAAACGCAGATACTTTTTTGAATTTTTTAAATAATGATTTCTGGGATTCAGTACATGCACTTCCATCGTCATGAAAGACAGAACCTATACCTTCAACTAGATGGAGCACTTTTTCATCATGCGGTAATAGTAAGTCATTAGTTGAATGAAGTGGATAGGTCGCAACAGTCCGTTAGTTGAGTGGCCGTCATGAATTCCAGATTTGACGCCTCTTGATTTTTTTTATGGGGAACTTTGAAAAATAAACTGTATTAAACAAGACCCCAGAAGATTTATGTAATAGAATTAGACAAGCATGTCGACAAATAACACATCAATTGAGCAGTGTTATTAGAAATAAGAGGAGACGAATTGAAAAGTGAACTAATAGAAGTCAGTAATATTTAAACTTTATTTTGTTATGAGTCATTTCTGCTATAATAAAAAATATATATAATTTGGTCTTATTGTGAGCACCCTGTATGAGTGAAATCAATGACACTGCATGGAAAAATTAATTAATATTATGAAAAAATGTTTCTCTATGGGGGATTACACGATTTGGAAATCTTCTCTTATATTCTTCAATATTTCTTCTGTAGTTTCTTTCACAGGAACCTAACACTAATAGCATGTCAACTTGTTCACTAAATGAAAACTTCCTGGCCATTTGCAGCAAAACATTCAGCAAATAATTACTAAAAATAAATGACTTTTTTCCTGATCGTCAAGTTCGACGTTTAAATTCATAGCCAATTTTTGAATTTTTGACGATTTTAAATAAGAGCTAGAGTACGTATTATTAGTTTTTTTGTTGAAAACAACAAGTGTTTTAGAATTAAATTCTCCATAAAATAAAGTAATAATTTTTTAAGTCCGCCAACGGGTAAAAAAATTCTGTCACATTTTGATGGTGCATCATCCCTTATTAACCTTTTAAAATGCTTCAATTGAACTCTATTTGTCAATTAATGCTCTTGGTACACTCGCACCCAAATTAGGTTTTTCTAAGTTCAAGTATTACTGAGATTTTTTTTTAAATTTGAAACACCACTTTCAAGGCCTATAACTTCTCAGGGGTGCAGCTTAGTATAATGGTAAGTTGCATTAAATCACCATACTTTGGGTTCTCCTACATGCCCCTGCTCTGTCGGTTCTTATTCAAAACATCCTGTATGTCTAAATTCCAATATAAATATTGCACAAACGGTAATGGCACTAATAATAAAAAAAGTAATATGATATTTACTATCTAACCTGTGACATTTTACTAACTAAAAGTTAGTATATATACGCAAAATCTGATTAGGTATTAAGATTTAAGATAACGAGTAGGTACTTGAATATAATATTTCTTTTGAAGGGGTCCTCGAGAAAAAAAGGTTGAATACACTGTATTGAAAATACCAAAACTGAACAGTAATATTGTTAAGCTAAGGATAAATTATCTAGTTTGGCAGAATAAAAAAGATAAGATATTAAAGAACCTTAACCTTTTTACCCACCCCGTGAATTATAAGGAATTGTTATTTCTACCTAAAGATACGATATCAGCAAATAAACAATATTTCTGTCAGTCACTGATATTTGAGACCTCCACAGAAATTCTTTATATTTTAAATGAAATATCTGCAAATAGTTTAAAAGTTTACAATTTCTAAGTGTGCATACAAAAACATGTATTTGAATGTATTAAAAATGTAATAGCTGCCAAATAATTTTGTTATATGTTGTATGTTCTCTACCTACCCCCCTACTCTATAAAGTTGGCAAGAAGTAATCTGTTTACAATGATAATTTTACAACTAGTACATTCTAAATTTAGCAAAAAATGTTGGCGCCGAGTGATTTTTATAATTAACATGTAAGCAAGTTAATGTCATTTTTGGTTCATGGAAAATAAAATTCTTGTACGATTTTTTGATAAGAGTACATTGTATGATTTACAGAAAAATAATGTCTGTATTCCATACGAAGAATTTCTGTCTGATACACAAATATACTGTTATAGATATGTTGTAGGAGATAGAGGATTTTAAAAAATTATTAAAATACTTAAACGATGAGATAGCTCCGTCAGTTTGTTTATTCACTGTGGTTAATTTATCTTTTACTTTCTCTGGATTAATATGGCTCTTTAGTTTTAATCACATTGAGAGAGAAAAGCTACCAGTTTTTGGTCTTAATATATTAAACGTGATCTTATGGATTTTTATATCGCTGGCTCCATTTATTCAGGTAAGAATTTGTCTTGAAGCAATTTTTCAATCGTTAACTTGAAATAAATTCAATAAAAAAACAATTCTCTTTAAAAAAATGTTCAGATACGTTTATCAGTATTATAAGTAAAGCATTTTATCAAAATACATTAAAAGTTATTAACAATTTTGTGTTTGATAAACCTAATTTATTTCAATTAGTAACTCCTATTGTATAAACGTGAAAAATTTCAATATTTGATTATTGTAGGGAGCAAGATTAACAAATTCCTGTGATGTTTTAAAAAGTGTGGGCCAAGAAGTAAGAACTCGCCCTTATGTACATCAAGAGACACCAGCTTACGAATTGGATTCTATTTTAATGTACACAACCAGTTTAAAAATTAATGCTAGACTTTTCTCTTTGCCCATAAAAGGGAAATATCTATGTTTCTGTGGTAGTTTTGCCATAGTTATAATTTTAATACTAGGCCAATGCCACTATTTAAATTAAACTGTAAATATAAAGTACAAAATAAAGCTGTTTAAAAAAGATAACTTAAAAATTTATTAACTGAACTATAAATTGTACAAGTTTATAGTAAAAATAAACTTGAAATAATATCTTTTATAATTATAAATTGGAATTTGTTTAAATTTACACATGTTGCATCTAATAGTTTACTTTCCATAAAACAAACTAAAAACTGATGTGAGCGAAATTCATTTTAATTGATTCATTTCATACGTTTTGCTGACAGTAACTGCTTCAAACTGAAAGACGAGACACCAACTCCTAGGCCAGCCAATAAAAATGCAGTGGGAAAGACCAATCTATCTTTACTTTTAGTGGTTATTTGGACATTCTGTAAGAGAATAAATGAGATTATGTTAATTATTTTTTACAAATGATAAAGCTAATAATAAAATAAACAATTTACAACTTTCCAATACTTTACATAGTACATTAAAATAGAGAATAGACTATCAAATTAAAAAAAAATTGATTTATTATTTAATATTATTTAATTTGCAAGTTGAAATAATTGCAATATGAGAAAAATATGCAGAAAAAACTTCAACTTGTAGAGTACAGTAGTAATTAACCTTCACTGCTTCATAAAAACGTACAAGTGTACATTCAGGTAGTAAATCTATCTTTATCTTTAAGCATGGATTAACATTATCATTATAAATTCTTTTAAAGTATTATTTCTACATCATTTAGAGAATTTCAGCGATTCAAATCACCAACAACTAGTCTGGTAATTTTTCTTAATTATTAAGGTAATATCAAGCTCGTTTCTAATTACTTCAAGGAAATGAAAGACAAATTGTTAACCAACATTTAAATAATATTACTGACTGAATGGTTCAATGCTTTTTTTAAGTATTTTTAACTTTCTAAAGATAAAACAAAAGTTTTAAAGATAAATTTGCTCACTAAACCTACTGTACCTTTAAGTTCAGCGCCGGATTAACAAGGGGGCTGTAGCCCCGGGCCCCACATGCTATTGGAAAAATTAAAAACACTAATGAACGGTACTAAAAATACTTGGACAATTTCTAATGGCATTTTTTACCTGAACAAATAATTTTCATTGGAAATGTATGTTGTATTACATATAAAATTTAATATTAGAAAATAGCATACTAAATTAATTAATTTAAAAGACTTTTGCTTCTTCATAAAGGAAGTTTAAGAGGGCCCCTTCCCTTAAAGCCCCAGGCCCCACCGAGGCTTAATCCGGCGCTGTTTAAGTTACTTATTAAAAATATAGGAAATTTCAGAATATTAACAATGAATGTATAAAAAGTCAACTAAAACTTACCTGTGCAAGTGTCAAGCGTAATGCAAGGTGCCGAACTTGTGACAATTTCATTATCCGACCTTGTCAATCCTACAAAAATACAACATTGAATATAACAATGATAGTATATATTTTGTGACTGCAAGTATATATGAATAACTGCTGGCGACGTGCTATAATAAATACGATCTATCTGTGAAGTCGATGTATAAATAGTACAGAGCTGCGTCTTAAAGATCGACTGTGAACTCTAAATTTATAGTTTATATAACCCAAAGAATAACCGTTACATTTTGCGTCAAAATGTGCAAAAAAATATCGATATGATATAAATATTTGAACTTTATCCAATATTTATAAATATAATTACTGATAATTTTCATAAATATCACTATATAAAACATTTAAAAAATTAAATAATGAACGACAACCTACCAATACACGCGCACTCGCAAAAAAAAATTGAAAAGGAAAAGGAATGAGAAAGGAGAACTAAAAAATGACAATGACAGGATCAGTGCTGCCATCTTGCGCAGAGAGCTGTTACAAAAAGGTTCTTTCAAAATGTGTCTAAATAAATCTAAACATTTTAGCTGCTTTCCAATTGTCATGGAACTGCTCCTGAAGTGTTCTTCTACTGTTCTACTCTTAAATACTCTAAACTTAAACAATTTCAACAACTCCGAGAGAAACAAATAAGTATTTAATTAAATTTCAAGTATCTCCTTTTAATATTGTGAGCCAAAAGCCAGAGCCTAATATAAATTTCACTTGAGTATTAAAAAACAGTGGCACAAAATAATTAATAACCATAATAAAAATCCTGACTCCACTTCGTATGGAAACAATTTGAGAGTATATGAGTATAAAGTTCATCAGTCAAAGGTGGTGCGTAAGGGGGTATGGGAAAACAAACACGAACACTAAGAGTAAAAATGTTCCAGCTTATTGGAACCTTCGGGCATATACTACTGGCCATAGCATGCCATTGCGAAAAGCATGGAGACTACACAAGGAGCCCGAACTCCATGTAAACAAAAATCGTACCAAAATAAGAGGGCGCTAGTGTCCCATATGTACCGTTTAGAGAGGGGTGATAAAAATAGCGGCAGTTATTTACTACTATAAAAACAAATTGTAATAATTATTGACTTGACTTCTACTTTCTAGGTTAGTATACTATCTATACCTTCCCGATAGATCTACTCAACTCCACAGACCACCTAAATTGGCTTATAGAGCGCGCCGCGCCATTATTCCATGGCTAGAAATTGGCCTCAATGATTTGGGATCGAGGGGCATTATCCCTCTTTATCCTGCCTCATCTCGTGTAGGCCCGGACAGCCTTCGTAGGTGGGCCCCATCCGTCGTCTACCCCGACCGCAAATGCGGCCGGTGTAGGCGCTTTGTGGGACCTCCTTTTGTCCTGGCTGGGCCCCGCCGGCTAGGGCCCTTTCTTCTGGCGCTCTTCTTGCTTCGCCGGCTCGTCTGTGTAAACCCCGGGGGTAGTGTCATGTTTATGTGTGGTATGGTTGGGTAGGGTAGTGCGGCTATGCAGCCTGGGATGCGCTTTGCTAAGGTGTCCCTTAGGCTAGCGCGGGAGGGGAGGGGTAAAGAGGGTATGGGGGTGTGTGTATGTGTTTGTGTGTGTGTCGTTGTCTTCGTTTCTTGATCCTGGCTGTCTCTGAAACAGAAAAGGTTAGTGGAAAGGGGGGGGGGATGTCGTCGGGGTGGTCACCCAGGTTCAAATAGTTGGTGTCTAGGTTACGTCAAACCGTTTCTCCACGTTTTGTCTTATTATCTGTGAAGCGTTTGTGTATTGTAAGTCTCGTAATATGTCAGTGTTTCTTACGTACCAGGGCGCGTCGGTGGCCGTGCGGAGGGCTATGTTTTCCACAGCCTGTAATGACTTTAAGTGGCTTTTTGCCGCGTGACCCCACGCCGTGGAGGCGTAGGTTAGCTGCGGTTGAAGTACCACCTTGATAAGCGTTCGCTTATTCCTTAAACTGAGGGTGTTTCCACCTTTGAGTAAGGGATAGAGCCTAGCCCTGGTGGTCTTCGCTCGCGCCACCGTCTCCACGATGTGCGGTTTCCACGTGAGACGCTGGTCCATCGTCACGCCCAGGTATCGTGTTTGTCGATTCCAGGAGAT